GTATCGATGGTGACGTCATAGAATGTGCGGGAAGGACATTCAACGGTTAGGCCATCCAGCTAAAGAAAAAAAACCTCCACACATCCAGCCTTACCTGCTATGTGCGCAGTTTAGCGGGCGACCTCGGAGGTTAGTCGTGGCCGCGAATTCGAAAAAATCCTCAAAGACCAGGCAATAGTCCAATCCCTTTTTAATGCAGCATGCTTGTAAAAAAATTCCGGCGCCTTCGCCTATAACTCAAAGGGAAGATGCTCAGGCTTGATAGAAGAGTTGCATAAAAAGGAGGTTTGGCCCCTAACCATTTCATGGTCCTCCTCCGAACTCCTTCCAGAAAATTTTGCTCTTCTACAGCCCATGGTCTCCAGGCTTGTATGCAGTACTCCGAATGCGACCGCACGAATGTTCCAAAACTCTTTGAGAACACGTCTTCCTCAAAGTCCATAAAATCCTGCTTGATGGTGTACAGAATAGGATAGATTTATTATAGCGTCCCTTGGGCACTGTCAGTTTCATTTAAACTGAGGAAAAAACCTAAAACAAACTCATGCATTTCGTCTACACTTTGAATCCATTTGTTTAGCCAATAGAGCACGAATTGAGAGCTTGTTTTAAGTTAAAAAAACCTGAGTTCCGAGGATAATAGTCCCAAAAGTTTTTTTTAAAAAGAACGATATGTACAATATAAAAATTAAAGTGTACAGTTTGGTGGTTTTTGGGGGCCTGAGTAATATATCCTTCACGGAAATTGAAAAACTTTGATATCGGTTTGACCTTGAAAGTATTTTCAAGTTGGGTAAAGTTGGATGTTTTCTAGTTGCTGGTTGTCAGTCTATCTGGCCAGCTGTAAAGGAGCGGTTGCACAGTGCATTCGCGTTTTTCAGGAGGCTTGCTATAGTTGTCTGGACTAAGAGCTGGAAAAGGTGAATATATATCAGGAGCAAGAAATATTCAATGGTAAGTCACAATCAAAGCTTTTAAAATAATATTTAATCATGTATCATATCGTTCTTATGAATGTGACATTATAGAAGTAGTGGTCGACTGTTTACTATGATCTAATATAGTTGTATATATGTTTAATATGGCCTTATGGGTTTTATCAAAAGGGACGTTATTAGTAGCTCCATAAGGGGCATTTAATGCCAGGTGACATGGCTGATGGAAACGAGAAAGGGAGGAAAGAATTAATATCAATAACTATTCTATGTTTATCAATGATGCTGTCTTTCATAAATTTGATTGTTTTTATTGCTATGTTCCGGTATTATTCAAGCGGTTGGCATCATCAGGGCACTCTTGGACCAAATGCTGTATTAAAGAATTGACTTGAAAAATGTCTTATTTTATTCAAAAATAAAGGCGTATTGTTATTTGAAAGGAACTTCTTAGTTTTTATTTTAAACTAGATTGGGTTTTGAATTTTCCGAATAGAACTTGGAAGGGCATTCCAGATATCGACATATCTTATGGAGTAGAAAGTTAGCCGTCAGGATTTTGTGGATTTGGGGCTCCTTAATGTCTTCGTTATTTCCGGTGTTTCTGGCGGCGTTTCGGATTGTTAGTGAATTCATTTTGAGAATATCTTGGTCATGGGTGACCTTAAATAGAAAGTGTAAACCATTTTGGAGTCTTCTGATCCATAGGGATCGAAGACCGAATTTATGATATAGTTCTAGGCATGAACAATGGGTGCCATCACTTCTTGACAAAGATCTAGTAAAACGTCTCTGAATGCCTCCTACTTTCTTTCGGCCGCCTGAAGAAGATTGAGCAATAATCTGGAAGAGAAAAAACGTACATTTTGAAAAGTTATATTCTTAGTGTATTTAAGGTGAAATTTTTACATAATCCACACAGGCGAGTGGCTTTGGGTGATATTTGTTGGACGTGTGGAGATAACTCAAGGGTATTTATATTGTTGGGACCTATATCTTTTACGGATTTGGCCTCCGTTATTCCATTATCCTCGAATATTGGAGGTGGGGGGGTATGTGGGCCAAAGATCAGGAGATGGTATTTTTCGGGTGAAAAGGGCACCTGCCATTGGCTACTCCATTCGCTGAGTTTTCTGAAATCGATTTCAGTTGTTCTGTGAATATGGGCTACTATTTTCCCATTATACACATATGCAAGTTTAAAGTCGTCCGCATATAAAAACGTTTTAGCCGATACTGATATGGACGATAAGTTGTGAATCTGCATGAGAAATAGAAAGGGACCTAGGATAGTGGCTTGAAGTACTCCAGTGGTAATATGGGATGGTTCCGAGACAACGTTTCAAATTCGCACCACTTAACATCGGTTTTGAAGATAAGATTTAAGAAATTCGAGAAGGGGTAGCCTAATTCCATGACTTTTTAGATTTATTAGTAGTCTTCTATAGGGGACTTTGTCAAAGGCGTTTTTAGACTGAAGTATATTGAAATTACTCTGTTTCCATCATCTCTATTGCTGAAAACGAATGCCAGAAAAGTGAGATGGCAGGACTGATGTGACGTTTTAGGTAAAAATGCATGTGGGAATGGGTAAATGAGGTTGGCGTTTGTGAGATGGGCTAGCAATTGGTTGTAAACTATTTTTTCGAGGATTTTAGCTATAGCCGGTGTTCGGTGAACACCGTGATAGTTTTGGGCATGAGATCTGTTGCCGCTTTTAAAGATAGGTGAAGTGGTCTAGTATTTTCACATGTCCGGAAACATTACATTTGACTGCAGTAGGGGAATAACATAGATAGGGGTATTGGAGTATGTAATATGCTTCAGAATACATGACAGTTCGACCATCGATTTCGATGATGTCCACCGTGTGCCCCACAGCAGGTTGAAGCAGGGACGGTGACTTGCGCAGGGGTTTATAGTGCCAGTAGACTTGCGCTGCATCTACCTACACTCTCTCCACCTCCCTCGCCCGAGCCCGGTGTCAAGACAGAGTCAAGAAGACCGGAGACGAGGGAGGCCGCAGGTGGA